TGGTTAAGGCAAGCATCGGTTTGGCTCACAGGATACCATGAATATCGATATAAGGTCACTTCGCTTACTGAAAATAGAAAGCTGTTTTCTGTTAGGTTTTAAACTTTCTCTACATTCGTTAGTTTATACCGGAAGACAGCAGTTATAATAAGGCTATTGCCATACAATTTTAATAGGATTTTCTCGAGAACCGTTGCATCTAACACCCACAGTGCGCTACTTAGATTAACTATATATTTATATAGCAACCTACAATATAACAAAATATACTGAAAACCTTGTAAACCGTTCTCATCTCTTTTGTTGCCAGTGAGAACGAACTCACTCAGCAACCTTGGGCACTTTTGTGTAGTAGGCAATGAGCTACATTTATCGTATGTGGGCTAATGATACCGCCTATCCATCAAATCTTGGTAGTGAGAGCAGTATCCAAACCTGTGACCCACTGGATGAGTCAACTCCTTAAACCAATGACCCAAAATTACTTTTGTCGTCAGAGGTGTCTACAGCATCTCAAACTTTAGTCGGTTATTATTGGGTCCTCATTAACAGTCTGTGTTGTTTAATTGGAATGGTAAATTGGGGCATGAAGTAACGATGTTTCTTTGTCATATCCAAACGTTTTTCGATGAATCGCTGCTGGGATTCAGTTAGTGATGAGTTTAACCATCAACAGTAGTTTCCATTAATAGCTTAGGCCGTCGAGTTTAACCTAGTAGATCATGAGTTAGAGCCTTGCTCCACCTACTGAGGTTTGTAGAACTAAGCTGTATCTCAAGCCGTTGCACAATAGGCTTGTCCCATACCTTAGTACACGAGCCTGCACATGTCTGCTCCGTTACACTTCTTTTTCCCCCTGTAACCTTAAGCAAGTACGCTCGACATATGTCGTAGTTCTACTTGAGAGTTTAATCTAGGGGATGGTTATTTAGATAGCGAATATTACCCAGTTAAGTATAGTTTGGTTTATGTTCTGCATGTCTGTTTGGATCATAACATATTTTTCATCGCCAATACTTCCAGAACAACTAACATCATTGTGCCATCTGGTGTCCTGTTACTCAAGCATGGACTCAAACAGATTATATTGCAGTAATCTACCGATGACACGGGTGTATTCCTGCTGTGACTCCTTTTAGAAAACATTCAGATTCTGTCAACACTTTAGTGTGTTTAGTGGTCTTCAGAATCATTGTTCTAAAAGACTATACTTAAGCAATTCGGTTGCTTTCACTATTAAAGTATGGAACCAAACTGGTTTTGAAGATTAGCTATTAAAACTCAGAAATTGTAGATAAGTATTGACCACACCCATAAGACTATGGTAGTTTCAACTAGGACTGCTTTCAGCTTTGAAGAATGTTACACTAGTCAACAGACTGCATGAATTCCCCCAACCTTCCGAACTTTCATCAATCGCTTCTGGTGGGTTTCAATTTCAAAGGTATTTGTAAGCTCCTTACTCCTAAATTCATACAACGCTCATATGGAGTTTTCAAAATATGGCAGTCACAATATGCATATGCGATGGTAGCAACAGCTACGTCTAACCACAGTTGAAAGCTGTTCTAGTCAGTCGTAATTGTGTGCGAGTAGCGTGATCTCAGTGAAACAATCCGGTAGGTCGTTTGTATGGTGATAAACAATCTTAAAAAGATCCTAGAGTCTAATAGAGATACTTCAGGTCGACTACAGAGTAATAGATAACGTTTAACTCTGATTTCTTTCAGCTGCCTCCACACTGAGGAAACTTAACCACGGGTACCGGAAATATATAGAATAAGGATGTATGCACTATTTAAGGGCTAACATTTTCTAACCCATCGTCTCAACAGTGGGGAGCAGTACCACTCGAAATGCCGGCTAACATTGGCAAATATCAAATATCATTTTGAATATCTGAGATAGCCCCGTGGTTTGGGAGACTAGTATTAATACTGGGTGATGATTAAGGGTGAAATGGAAATTTAGACTGCGGCTGGATTTGAACCAGCGACCACCGGGTTTCCGGTTCTGTGCTCTACCAGCTGAGCTGCAGCGCTTGATTACTGACTAAATTTTTATTTTACTTCAGTCGCCAAGGGTTTTGCTCAACTATCATGTGAGTTCGTGACGCATTACTGCCACTTGATCGTACTTACACTGGATGCCTAGTCAGGACTTCTCATCCAAATCCGAGTCTAACTGGTGTGAATCCGGCCGTAGTTCAAATTTTCATTTCACCTTCAATCATCAACCAGTATAAATACTAGTCTACCAAACCACAGCTATCTCAGCTAGTCAAAATGATGATCAATATGATGCTTGTCCTCTCTAATTCAGTTAGATTTGGATTGGGGAGGCAGTGTGAGTACGATCAAGCGATAGTAACTTGTCACGAATTCACATGGTAGTTAGGTAAAACCATTGGTGATTGAAGTGAAATAAAAAAATCTGGTCAGCAGTCAGGTTTTGTAGCTCAGTTGGTCGAGCACTGGAACGAAAACTTGGTGATCTGTGGTTCGAATCCGGCCGCGGTCCAAATTTTCATTTCACCTTCAATCCATCACCCAGTATAAATATGTTACTATAGTTGCATTTTGCTACACTCGGAAGTGTGACATAAGTCATTTGCATGGATATTTCTCGAGTTGTTTTCAATATGGCTATCTTCAAAAACCATTTTCACATAAATAGCTGTCTATTGTTCTTAATTCTTTCCTTCAGATGGTCATTTGTAAGCATTTTTGAGCTGAAACATCAAAGTATGAATTAAATTCCTTTTCTGTGTAAGAGGAACAAACGATCGGTAATACATATACTACTGATTGACCGTGACTTCTTACAGAAAATAGTACGCTAAATACTAACCTCCATTCCTGGTTACAAAATATCAAGAAATAACGGACACGCATCTTTCTCAGTGAACTTACTTTCTTAGTGATCAACGTTAAGCGTGTTGAAAAGAATATCAGACTTGGCGTCATTGTTGTACAAGATAGATATGTTATCCTTTTATCTTCAATAAAGTTTCAATGTATTTGGTGTAGCTTTCAGTGGTCAACTTTGTAGTTTTACCGCGAACACATCGACTAGAATAAAATCAATTTTGAACTCCTTGTCACACTTTCTATTCGATAGCAGTTTTCATCATTAGATTAAAACTGTACATTCGTGGTAAAACGAAGAAGCAGTTCTCGTTTACTGTCATTTCATTATCTGGTGTTGGTTTGCAAATGAAATCAATGGTTTTGAACAAAGGGATTTAGGTGGATATGGACGTAACATTCTTAGAAATAACTGTGTCATCTTTTATCTTTTTATGATATATTCCACTGTATACTTTAGACTCATCGCTCCACCTACTAAGATTTAGGCAGCCAGGTAGTATCATTGGCTCTCATACAATAAATATGGCTCATTGCCTACTATGTAAATGTTCACAAGGTTGCTAAGTGGAGTTCAGTTTGATTTGTTTCAACGCTTTAAGTTTATATATACCATCCAAACTTGTACTTCAACATAAAGTTTATTGAAGATATGTAAAATGCAACGTTTTGTTAGCCTAGGTTTGTGAATTTTTAGTAGTACACATATGTTAGGTATATTTGTATCTACCTGCTTACAGCGTTCTACGAGACATGACTTAGACCGCACAAACCATCTTATGTTTTTATTATTGTTGTTTTCACCTTTATTGTTATTCTTTTATCCATATACTACCATTCTATGAAACATAATGGCATCAAATATCTATGCTGAACAGCTTTAGTTTGTAATTGTAATGCCAAACGAGAAATTACTTTAATAATTTCTTTTTGTCTAAACTACACCTTTCGACTTCTATAGTCATTTTTAAAGTAGTTTAAGTATAATACTGGGCTAAATAGGAAAGAGTATTCCTCTCAAGCTTTAATTTCTGTCTAAACTATCCCCTCTAAAATATAAGATCGATATTTTCATCGTTCGAGCAATCATAAAGAGGCTTTACATGCGTATGAATAAGTTCACTTTCTGTGCTGGTTTAGGGAGATGTTTTCCAACCAAAGGTCAAAGGTTCGAGTCCTGCTCCACTCGGCGTCTAGATAGTATCATTAGGCATCACACAATAGGTGTAGCTGATTACCTACTACAAGGATATAAACTAGGTTAGGTCATCCATAACCCCTTCAGGGACCGGACCCAGAACCTTCAGGTTCCGTGACCAGCACGTTGTCATTGAGCCACTGAGTCAGAATCCAATGGTCTATATTTTCTACTTCTGTCTGTTCAGGATATACCGTGGCCTCCATGCATTGTCGTCGTTAAGTAACTGTCCGTATATCCGACTTACGGATAGTGTGTCGTTATCAGCTACATTAATTAACTTGCTGTTTACGTTAGAAATAATTTGATAATTCCTATTGTAGCATTAAGAACAAGATATTCAACGAGGAGACTCTTTTCAACGAATTTATTTTCAAGACATGATGAATCGTTTTCGCCTACAACGTAACTGAATAGACATCTTTTTAACAGCCTATATTTAACTAGTTGTTAGGCTCATTTCTTGACATATCATTATCTTCATTTTGACTATTTAAGATAGCCGTAATTTTGTAGACTTGTATTTTTGATATTTGGTGATGACTGAAACTGAAATGAAAATCTAGTCTGCGGTAGAATTCGAACCAGCAACCTATGGGTTCCCCACCAGATGTTCTACCATCATTATATAATCATAATGGGGTACTAATCTTAAATGTCATATGTTAATCAAAACGTATAATGTCTATCGTACTGTGATTGTAGTTGTTCGATTGAATTCCTTCAATAACTTTGTAGTATTTATCTATGATTGGACAATAAACTCTAATTCACATGTCACCTTGCTTTTGAATTGACCGTGAATACAAGATTTCTGCCTATCAGATGTATACTTTGAATTTATGTCTAGCCACATGCATAGAGTAGTAATATACTGAACTATAGGAAGAAAATCTTAGTTTTAAGGGAAGAGTTTTCTTCTGAAAAAAAAATAAGCAAAACAAAACCAAATTGATAACATTAAGAGTCTATACAATACTTGTCTCACTATGTCTATCTAGTTTCTTGGCTTATTTAACATACTGTTACGTCATCGTCAACATCTGTTACTTTTTCGTTGCCTATATAGATGGAACTTGAAATTTTGCAATGTTTTTTTTGTTTAAGAGTAAAAAACTGACTTGACAGGGTTTCATTATCTTTTTATTGATTAGGAATTAGATTGTGAGTTTCTTTGCCCTTTTTTTAACCCCTTCTCTCAACTACTAATCTGTTGGATACAGCAATACGTATGATTATCTTCAATTTTCTATACTTCACTATAGTTGGGAATCGACAATTGTATTGTACAATACATCGAATATATCTTATCCCTTCGGAAGTGTTGGCTATCCAGTTTCTCAATATTTAATCCATTATGTTCATTCATACATATGATGAGATTGTTAAATTGAAATTATCTCATTGGATATCTATAAATTATTGAAATTAGTCTGACAGGTTCAAGCAAGTATCTTTTCTGCAGTAATTATAATACAAAGCAAGTTTTGAAGATATGATATACAGTTTATTAGATATGTATAGTGTACAATACTAACTAAGTTATAAACAATTGGACTTCATATGCTACCGACTTCCGGTTTATTGAATTCTTCATCTTTTCTACAAATATCGAAACATATTAACAGTACTATTGCTACTCCAAATTATTTAATATCAACAACGCAAAATTTATTCATTTTAAAAACAACATATCAAGTTATATCGTCTGCGTTGTATCTCAGTATTGGGATTGTTTGCTGTATATCATTGTTTTTGATTTTGGTAAGTTTGTTGATGATTTTGTAACTATTTGATTATTATTTCTGGATTCGATTAATTTATAGTTGGAATAGATGTTTAACAGTGTTTAGCAGAGCTGTAGTTCATTGGTTTAGAATTTTGATTTGCAAACGGTTGGTTCATAAGTTTGAAATCAACTCCACCAACTAAGGTTTGGGGTGTGATTCATTGGCAACAAGGTTTTTAAGTTTGTTTCTTCCTCTGTCCTTTTTGGGGAAAAACATTAGTTTAGTTCATCTGGACTTTAATATTTCTTCAAATCATGTCTGATCATCAATAAGAATACCTCGACGTGCCATGCTAGGGGAAGTTGGATTAGGATGGAAAAGGGTTTAGGGTAGCCAGATCAAAACCTGACACCAGTCGACGAAGTCTCTGATGGTTGGCTTGAGCTGTATGGGGAGACGTAGACTGCTTGGTTGAGATCCCTAAGACGAAAAGGATCAACGGTTGTGGACATTTGGTGATATTGCTGAAAATCGGTAACCATGGTGCAGATGTATTCACCCCTTTACATCTTCTTCACCTTGGATATTCACAATAACCTTTGTCTTCAAATTGCTTATTCTTTCACACTACTTTATCTACTTTGATATCACTCCTTTTCTGTCTAGCTGTTCTTTCTGTACTTCTATGAAGTGCTGCAACTTCAGGTGATACACCTGTGTGCAGGGTTCTACGTTAATTTTGTCAGTCAAGGATACCCATAAACTGCAAAAAGAACTAAGTGAATTCATAATGCCCCTAATATGGTGCTTAGAATTTCTCACAAGTTATCCTGTTTAAGCAACTGCAAAAAATTCTAAAATCCGTCAACATGTTAGTGAGATATTCTGTACTTACGTCTACCAGCTAACTACGTACACCATTTTATTGTTATCAGCTGCGTTTTATGCTAATGATATTTTGCTGGAATTCGAAATCTATTCGTGTATGAAACAACTCCTGAACTATATATCAATTATACATTAAAATAAAATGACTGGTTAACTGATTATTGATCCCATTAGACCACTAATTAAAATCTCATTCGCTGTCTACACTTTGCCTTGTGTTACCAGGCTTCATTTGATTCAGTCAACTGAGATATATTGTGGCAGTGTCTGTTTAGGGGATGTCAAACAATTATATTATGTCACTAAAGACTTTATTCGAACTTACTAAGCTGTGTAGGAGTGTTCGCTATCATCAGTCCCTTTTAATTTTAATGAGGACTTAACAACAATGATGATTCTACTTACGTGTGAATCCCGTCAACCTGATCATCATCATCATCATTATCAACATAGGACCAGACATTACTGCGTAACGGTCCGAGTTGCCACACCTCATATCAGCACATCAAGTAAAAAGGTAGTGAGGTGAAGGATGAAGATAAGTGAATGCAGTCAAAAGAAATATAAAGTACGGAAAGAAAGGAAAGAGGAGTGACAAAATAGTGAGATTCGGTATAGCGTTGTTAAGATGAGGATAATGTGTGTATACATCTGCGCCACTGACATCGGTTCTGAGCCATATCACCTAGGGTCTCCAACCACTGGTTCCTCTTGTCCCGTGGACCCCAACCACCTAGTCTGCATCGTCCTACATGGCTTAAACCAACAGTCAGAGACTTCATACATTGGTGCCATGTTTTAGTCTGGCCACCTCGGGCCTTTTTCCAGCCTGGGCCTACTTCGGCCAACATTGTGTGACGAGGCAATCCGACCTGATCTCCTGCTGAGAACAGTTCACAGACAAAGTAGTCCTGTTTGGTGAAGATAATAACAAGATCCAGAGTGTTCTTGATGACCACACCTAACTGGTAGCCACACATAGTTTAGTGATAAAAGTGAAATCGTCGGCAGCATTGACCATTTAACTTGTTCAAAATTCTCACAAATCAAGGTGACCTAGCACTCGAGGAAGATCTTATCATATACAAAAAGGTTCATATATCACTTTTTAATTGACAGTATTTATGCATTCATGAAATATCAGACTGCGTACTAAACGATAAATGTACTGCTCAATATTTCTCTCTCTTCTATTGTACCATTGTGAAAAATAACCACTGAAAATAGGAAACATGTCTACATAGTATTGTTCAGGTGTGGTGGAAGAGCCACAGTTTGAGCAATGTCGACGTTAGAAAGAGTGTGTGGTAAGTAAGGAAGATGATTTGATAAAGTGGTGAGCCTTTACTTCCTGGCATGACTTAAGTATATTTTAGGCATATTGATGTACAGCCTACATTATCATCGCATGTTAATTAGAGTATGAGTAGGTTAAAGAAAGCGTACGACGGTAGAACCAAGATGTGACAGCAGTCTTTAGTCTTTAGTGATCAATCTAAACAGTTTCTTCATTTCTCTGAAGAAGCTCGAATCAGACTTCCGTGCGAAACATTGGAATTATTTGATTTAAAACCCGCTATGACTTACACAAATACAATCTATATCTAATGTCAACCTTTTACTCAGCGCCCAATATTTGCCATACTATACGATCAAATCTTGATCATAGCTTATATAAATAATAGTCTAGTTTATGCAGTGTGTCCCTAAGTGCACCGTCTCCAAGTTTGGTCAAAAAGATGTCTGCTGGCATAGAACCCAGAGGAGAGCCCATTGCAACCCCACCTATTTGTCGATATAATTTGTTGTTAGACATAAAGTGAAGATTCATGGTGCATTTTAGTAACAATTCCTTAACTCTTTCGGGTGGGATTCCTAAATCTGACTGTCGTTCCGTTAATTCATCGCCAATGTAGTTAACTGTTTCTATAAGCGGAACATTGGTGACTAATGATGTTATATCCAATGAAATCATCCTCTTTCCTCTGACATTCATATTTTTAACATGTTCTACAAAGCTGAATACATTTTTTACACTGAATCTCACCAGTTCGCGATGTACAGGCTCTAGCGCTCGTACTAAACATTTTGCTGTTGAGTGATATGGAGAATTCACCATATCCAGAATTGGACGTAGTGGAATTCCAGGCTTGTGAACCTTTGGTAAACTATACAACCTAAGTACATGTGTCCCTGAGGGTTTTAATGTATCATAATGTATCAGATTCTGTTCCGTCATTGTCCTCAAAGTCTTAGTCAGTTGATGTTCTGTTGTTTCTGTAGTATCTTTACAATCTTTGACTTCTGAAACTTTGTTTCATCACTGAGAAGGTTCATCTTTTTTAATTAGTCACATTTATTCATGATAACAGTACCAGATCCCTTATCAGGTTTAATTATTATCAGATTATCATCGTTTCTGAGCTCCTGGATAGCCTCTCAGTGTTTCTTAATGAGTAGGCTTTTGAAAGGATGTTTGTTATTGTTAAACCAATAGCAGCAATCAATCAGAGTAGCTTTGAACCTCTCGAACTCAAACTTGGAAGATGGGATTAAGTCTTGTGTCTGGATAAACAGGTTTTCAAACTGAACATCAGTTTCTATATTATTTACTTGACTACGTCTGTCACAAAATTAAGGACCAAGAGATAAAACTTCTAGTTGTGTCTTGTTTAAAGAAACAGAAGAAAAGTTGAAAACGTACCGATCGTAGTTAGTGGGGAAATAAGTTTAGATAATTTGTTTGCCTAATCCTTTCATCAGTGAAATCCTTTTCTTACTTTCTCTAGTTTTCATTTCTTCATTAACACATCCCTTTAAATTTTGCAGAAGTTCCTCGGTGGCATAAAATCTATGTGTAACATTTTAATATAATTCTAGTGTGGTAATGATGGATAGTGGCTTTTAGTGGAATCTAGGACGCACGTTCCTCCCGATTTTGGACTCGTCAGTTGAATTTACCTGTTTCCTAGTGAACAACATTGTTCCCATTGAGACTTGAACCCTGGACCGATCGCTTCCACTAGACCATCAAGTCACGAGGAACAACATTATAATCCCAGCACTTTTAGAATATCATATACGATTTTACTGAACATTTCTCTGTGTTAAGCCACTGCCTATTCAACAGAATACTCAGATTTTTAACACAAGTCAAAATATATCGTCAAACAGTACGTGGAATAGTTTTGGTGTGTGTGTGTATGTGTGTGTGCGTGTGTGTGTATGTGTGTGTGCGTGTGTGTGTGTGTGTGTGTGTGTGGCTACGTGGTTGCATTTTTCCGCTCTCAGAGTGAGATTTCCATTCACAGTCTACTAGGCAAGATTGTACGTGGATATTACACTGTCATTGCAAATCTGAAGCAACAGGATAGTCAACGTTGAAGATTTCTTAACTGAGTCAACAAGTAGGCTTTTAAGAGGGATATCGTAGTGAAATTCTAAGATATAAATGTGATATACAATAAATTTATAATGTCTCTCAGCCTTTCCTCACACCCTGTATCGCTAATAGTATTTCTCAGTTCATGCGATCGTATTGGTATATCAGTCGAAAGCAACCTACGATTAAGCAGTTGCTGCTATTGATTTAAATCCCCTTGAAAACTTTCGCTCTACTTATCGTACTATGGTATGTGTTCTTGAGAAGGGATTCTACCAGATGATTCTTTAGTCTTCTTCAGTCTCTGTCTCCGAACATTGGGATCCAATCATTTTAAAAATGGTTTCTGGTTTAAATGGGAAGTACTTAAAATTTCTCGTTCCTAAACATACAAGATTTTAAATTTAAAGACAACACAAGACAGTACCAACTACGGGTATCTCAAATAGTCAAAATGATAATCAGTATAATACTCCCCCTCTCTAATTCAGTTAGAAGTCTTGACTGGACAGCCAATGTGAGTATGATCAAGTGGTAGTAATGCGTCCCGAATTCACAAGGCAGTCGGGTAAAACTTTTGGTGATTGAATTGAAATTGAGATCTGATCAGTAGTCGGATCTTGTAGCTCAGTTGGTAGAGCACTGGGGTTGGCAACCCAGTGATTGTGTGTGCATATATATATTGAGTTTACACTAGAAAAAAAAATCTAGTTTTTTTTTCGTACTTGTTCAATATCGGTTGTACTACATTATTGGTTGAAATC